ATGCATATACATAGTCATATTAATATTAATATACATACACATACACACATATGTACATATATACATTCATAAACACATACATACTCACCTTGTATATATATATATATATATATATATGTGTGTGTGTGTGTGTGTGTGTGTGTGTGTGTGTGTGTGTGTGTGTGTGTGTATTTATTGTGTGTGTGTGTTGATTGTTCGCGCACACGCGCGTGTGTATAAAGAGAAATGAAAAGTCTTTGACAGTTTCTGTAAGTCTATTTCGTTAACTCTTTCAGTAAGATAATTAAAAATGTTTTCTTATCCCATCTCAAAAGAGACATGACATCTGTGTTGACTGGCACGACACAACTTTTTCTCGTTTTAAATTTCAAGTTAGCGTTTTTAAATATGAATGACAACATGTTTTGCGCTGCTGTAGGCAATTTGTTACTATGAAAATATTTACGTGTACGTATTAACTAACCTGTCATTTATCTTACATTTCCTGAAGGATTATATATTTTTGGGAATTCCAATCGCTTTTTTTTCCTCTTCTGTCTGTCAGTTTATTTATTAGTCTATATATCCTCCCCCTCTTTCTCTTTTCCTTCCTTCCTTCCTTTCTTATTTCTTTCTTTCCTCCCTCCCTCCCTCCCTCCCTCCCTCCCTCCTTTTCCTTCCTCCCAACTCCCCCCCCCCTCCTCTCTCTCTCTCTCTCTCACTCTCTCTCTCTCTCTCACTCACTCACTCACTCACTCACTCACTCTCACTCTCACTCTCTCCCCCCCCTTCCATCCTCCCTCCCTCCCTCCCTCCCTCCCTCCCTCCCTCCCTCCCTTCCTCCCTCCTTCCTCTCCCTCCTTCCCTCTCCCTCTCTCCCTCCTTCCAACTCCCTCACCCACCCCCAATACAACATATAAAACCTCCCATAACTCCCTTTCTTTCTCCCTTTTCTCCCTCTTAGGACCACAATATCCTGTACGAGCTGAACGTAAGCGTGTCGTGTCCTAAGCCTGACTTCGTTCAAGAGTCCCACTTCATGCGCATCGCCGTCAACGACAACTTCAGCGAGAAACTTCTCCCTTATTTCAATGATGCTTTTAACTTCATCGGTGAGTTTTTTTTTTTCTTTTTTTTGAGGGGGGATGCTTGGGGGAAGTTTGTCTGTTTGTTTGTTTGTTTGTGTTGTTAGGATTGATATGGAGAATTAATTTGTTTGTTGTTGCGATTATTAGACTTGGTTTTATTTTGATTTCTTTAACATTAAATGAATATGTAAATAAGTAAGTCTGTAAATAGATAAATAAACAGAGCTAATAGAATTAATAAATAAAATAAATAGGTAATTCACAAAATAAGTAAATGAATAACTGAATAAATAAAATTTTGTAACACACTAATTTCCCTCTTTTGTCTTTCTTTTTTTTCTTTTTTAACCAGACAAGGTTCGTGAGTCTGGTGGCTGCGTGCTGGTCCACTGTTTAGCGGGTATCTCACGCTCGGCCACGGTCGCTATCGCTTATGTTATGAAGCATCTCCGACTTCCCTTTGATGAAGCTTATATGTGAGTATCTGGGGGGGAAGTCGGGTTCTTGGAGGGAATTTTTTTGTTAGTGTTTTTATTATTATTATTATTTTTTTTTTTTTATGGTTTTTTATATATTTTTTGTGTTCTTTTTTGGTTTGGGATATGGTTGTGTAGAGTGTATAACGATTGTGTAGGATGATCTGTATGTATTTTAACGCGCTTTGTGTGACTGATTTCCCCCCGTGCTTTTCAGGTACGTGAAGACGCGACGTCCGACCATTTCCCCGAACATCAACTTCGTGGGCCAGTTGGCCGAGCTGGACCGGCAGCTGCGGCGCGACGCGGGCCAGCGCGACCCGACCTCCGCGCCCATCCTCTTCCGCAGCCACGAGTCGCACTCGTCGGGTTCGTCCACTGCCTCGATCTCGTCCTCGGCGGCCTTCGCGTCGACCTACCTGGAGAGGCACGCGTGTTCAGGTCTCCAAAACAACATGCCCAAGTCGCTCAGTCTCAACCTCCGGTCGACCCTCGAAGCCGTGCCCGCTTCGCCGTCCTCCACACCTCACTCCCCGGACATGTCGCCCTCCTCGGCGCTGGCTCGACTCAGCTTCGCCTCCGCCCTGGACGAGCTGCACGACGACGGGCTGCCCGCCACGCCCAAGTGCCCCTCGCCCGCCACGCCCATCTCGTGTCTACCTCCTTCCTCCCCCACCACGGCGATCATCCGTGACTCCAATAGTTCCCCGGTCTTCTCCTACAGAAAGACTTCTAGTTCTTCTTCACCCACGTCCCCTGCCTTCAGCTCCTTCTACAAGAGTAAGGAGGTGTCTAGTCGGACTAGTAGTGACTACAGAAGTGAGGCTAAGATTACGTCTTTAAAAGAAAGCTTTACATCTAGTGATAGCATTAAGAGTACAAGCGGGTCAACCAGCAATTATTACAGTAGTGCCACCTTTAAAGTGGGGGCGGCCGAGGCAGGGAGAGGGGTGGGGG